CATTCAGTGGTTAAGAAACAACTGTTAGCAGCATATGGGTCCAATCTGAGACACATACGTAATTTGAGAACACAAGACTTGGATAACTAGATTTGTATTTTGGCAAATGCCTCTAGTCCCCAAATTGTACTTTAAACCGGACTGGGATAGCTTTCTAGACATCAGGCAATCGGTTTGCTGCACCACACGGATTGCCTCCTGAAGTCACGTACCCTAAAACAGCTTATATTTTATTCTTCATGTGGGAACTCAGCTGTAACTGTTAATATTTTTGTGCCAATCCTGAAAAATAACTTAACAGCTATTTCCTTATTTAGGAAATAACAATATTAGAGGTAGGTGTTGACCAGACATTTGTAATGCTAGTTTCTTTTGACTATCTGTAAATAAGACAAATGTAGAAGTTTTCCCGCAAACAAATGAAGAATCTAATTAACTGGCTTTGCTAGCAGAGCCTCTTGCTCTGCAACTTAAAGCACAGAGAACAGCTACCCTTTCCAAACATGTTCTTGGCACGTATTTTGATCATTGCAGTGTTTCCTTTCCCAAAGGGATGTATCTATTTCATAGTCACCCCAGGTGCAGCTTGCAGATGGTGGCTGGCCACCCTGGATGCAGTTTCCATCATCCTCCTTTTGCACAAAGGTTTTGGATGCGGGGTCCATGGGAAGTCGGCACAGAAAGCCAGGTCATGGATGCAGCATTGTGTTCAGGGTACAGACGGTGGAGGGGATGGAGAAGTGCAAGGAAGGTGATCAAGAGAAGGCCAGATGCCATCTCAGCCACTCTGCTGAACGCTCTGGATCCAGCCTGGGGTAAATCATATTTCATTCTCATATTTCACATTCCAAAACCAGAAATTAAATCTGTCTGTTGTTTTAACTTCTTCCCTGCTGCATAACTACCCTGAGCACCTTGAAACAAGCAGCCTGACTTCAGAAATATGTCACCATCACTTAAATGTTATCATCAACAAGTTTTAATGCAATCACAGGCAAGGCAGATAATCAATATTAGATTGCAGAAGCCTTAAATATTGTTCAGTGCTCCCTACTGTGTGGAAAATAGACATAGCAAAATACTGCTGCTGGGAAGGGGATAACCATCTAGAATGGCACGCCAGACAAACGTCAGCCCCGTTTTAAAGCAGGGCAACTGTGACAAGCATATTTCAACAAATCCCTCATCTTTCAAAGAAATCATTAGACACACCATTCTGTCCTCATAACTAGCTTGGGCCAAGACTCACACAGGAGGTTTTTGGCAATGTTTGGAATTCAGCTCTGCTCTGTGGCATTTCAGAAGACTTCTTCATTCTGAAATCTATTCCTGTGCCATTGTACCATTTCCAAGCTTATCCAGGGATTCTGGGTCCTCTGCAAGGACCACAGAGTCTTGAATGTCATGCACGCCCTTCAGGATGAAACAGTGAAATAAATTAAACTGCAAACTGCAAAAAGCTGGTGTTTTAAACAACAGTAGAATGGCACGATCTGCTTGAGAACCATGGTATTTTATGTAAAAACATCTTGTGTCAACAGCAGAATAATGCAGTCCCACCTAAGTCATAAACTAATAAACACAGCTAACCTGCAAGTTGCTGTCAAGAGTGCATAAACACCTGCAGAATGAAGGATAACAAAATCCACAAGTCACTACTGAAATGCAAGAAATACAGACTCCACTAAGTCCCAGTGTAGCAAAATAAAAGAAACGATGCTTAAAGGCCATCTGGTCCAACCCCCCAACAGTGAGCAGGGACATCTTTAACTAGTAACATTGCTCAGAGCCCTGGTCAACCTGCACTTAAAGGCTTGGGGGATGGGGCATTTACACCTCCTGGGAAACCTGCTCCCATGTTTACCCACCCTCACTGTAAAAAATCTCTTCCTTATATGTAGTCTAAATCAACCCTCTTTCGGTTTAAAACCATTGCCCCTTGTCCTATTGTAACAGGCCTTGCTAAGAAGGTTGTTCCCAGCTTTCCCGTAGGCTTCTTTTAACTGCTGGAAGGCCACTATTAGGTCTCCTCAGACCTTTCTTTTCTCCACGCCAAATCCCAGCTCTCCTAGCCTGTCTTCACAGAAGAGGTGCTCCAGCCCTCTGGACCAGCTCCAACAGTCCATAACTTTCTTGTACTGAGGACTCCAGAGCTGGACACAGTACTTCAGATGGGGTCTCACAAGAGCAGACTAGAGGACCAGAATCACCTCCTTCGACCTGCTCGCAACACTTTTTTGATGTAGCCCAGGACAGTTGGCCTTCTGGGCTGAGGTGCTCATTGCCAGGTCATGTCCAGCTTTTCATCTACCTTTATCTCCAAGTCCTTCCCTGCAGAACTATTATCCATTCCTTCATCCCCCAGCCTGTACTGATACCAGGGGTTGTACCTGACTGCCTTGACTTTACAAATATCATGGACAGTGGCCTGGAACTACATTGGCCAATTCCCTCAGAATTCTGGGATGCATTTCATCAGGTCCCACAGACTTATGTATGTTCAGGTTCCTCAAGTGGTCACAAATCCGATCTTCTCTTGCAGTGGGAGGCGCTTTGCTCCCTTGGTCCCATCTTGCAGTCCACCCACTTGAGGCATGTGGGAAGAGAGCTGACAGAGGTAAAAAAGTAGAGTACCTCAACCTTCTTGTCTGTTTTTACCTGTTTATAAGTCTTGCTCATCAGGGGGTGTACACTTTGACCTTCCCTTCTTGTTGACATAACTGTCAAGCCCTTCTCATTATTCTTTGCATCCCTTATCAAGTTCAGCTCCAGCTTTGCCTTGGCCTTCCTGATCCCATCCCCACAAAACTGGGCAGTATCCCTACAGTTTCCCTGTTGGCATTTGTTATCTCAGGAGCCCCTGGCTCATCGCCAAAACTTTAAGTGTTCTCCAGTGTACCCAGCACACCTCAGAGCAACAGGCTGAGGGCCAGTTCTAGCACTCTGTCCCTCTAAATCGTGGTGTGTCATCCCACAGCTTGTCACAGGCAAGCCTGATACTACCCCTTCACCTTTAAGTCTAGTTTAAAGCTCTGTCAATGAACCCTACAAGCTCCTAAGCAAAGAACCTCTTTCCCCTTTGAGAAAGATGATTCCTATCTGATGCCAGCAAGCCTGGTGCTGTGCAGGTCCTCCCATTGTCAAGAAACCAAAAACTGTGGCAGTGACACCAGCCACAGCACCATGTATTAATAGACTGTGTCTGTCTGTTTCTCCCAGTGTCACTGCCTGCAACTGGAAGGAGAGAGTCAAAAATAACCTGTGCTCCATATTCCCTCATCAACCATCTCAAGGCCCTGAAGCCTCTTTTAATCACTTTTGGATTACACATTGTGGTTTTATTGCTGAGACTAATTATAACAAAGAAAGCAGCTTTCTGCAACACAGAAATTTTCTGCACATTTTCTGTTACAAGAAAATTCTGACAGCTGTTATTTTATCCTCCTCTGAATCTTTCTTCCCTCATCTTTATAGTAAGTAATTTTTAAAAAAAGGGGGGGTGGGGGGGGCTGATGAGATTACAGTGACTTGTGACTATCCTCCTTTTCTTTCTGATACATGAACTTGTCTTCCCGTGTTCACTCTCACTTCTCCTCCATCCAGCAGCTTCCATTGCAGATAAGCCCAGCCAAAACACCAGGTGCAAACCCTGCCTGACCTCGCACACTGGAGTACCAAGATAAGGGTATTGGTCGCCTGGCCTGGCAGTACAGTAAAAATACACCCTTCAGTCAGAGCTAATTTCCAAAGAGGGAGAAGGAGAACCACTCTGGCAGGAAGGTCTGCAGGGGGCCAGGCCACCATTCAGGGGTCTCTTGCACAATCCTTGCCAAGAGGTTGTGCCTGGCCTTCTATCACCAGTTAGTTACAGAGAAAACGGTCTTTAACAAAATGAATATTATTCAGTGTTTCCAAAGACACTAAAAGAAAAGAAGAGATATAGAGGCTTACCGGTGATCCAGTTGTGGAGTACTAGAATAAAAAGCTGCAAAATAGTTGTGATGCAGCACAGATGAGACAAAATCATGGGATTCCAAACTGACATCCTGGTCTTCAGCATCAGATTCATTCTAATCAAATGAAATTTAAGTTACAAACTTTCTGAAATATAAAAATTTGCTGAACTGTGTAATCTAGTAATACTCTTAGTACCACTGTTTATAGCAGGCAATGCCTTGCAAGCACTTACTAGGAAGGTTCTCCTGTTTGCTAATATCCGCAGGTATTGCACAGCAGTCGTTAGCATGCACACTGCAGTGGTGATACCATTCAGGACACAAAGAGCAATGAAAACATTCTGAAGAACATGAATATTATGGAAATTAAAAGATTAAATCAACATATTTGTAAATGTCATAATAATAATAATAATTAAGAAAAAAATCAAAAGACAAACATACAAAATACAAATATGACTGTGACCACTGCTTCTTAGAAACATATATGATGAAGTCTTCAGGACAGGTAATCTCCTAGACCAGAGTAATTTTCAAAAGCTTGTTTTGCCCTACTGTGTGTCCTGACAGATATCAGAAGGGTTTAATACCACTCAGATGTGATTTATAGTCCAACTATCCACCCAAGGGATTATAACCTTCCTCTTAACTTTTTTGTGAGAAATCTAGATGCAAGATAATCACCATTAAATAGATGTTAAAGGATTTTTATATTTGAAGATGATGCTGTTTAGAAGTTATATTTTAGCAGTTTGTAAGACAAGAAAGGACAAGAAGACCAGTGAAGACACCAAAATATTGGCTAAAACATACACAATGTTTACCCATGCAATTTTATCTGAATTCAGTTGTAGTTTTACTTGCATAAAACATAGAAAGGACGAGAACCGCATATTGGATGAACAACGCACTGGTCAAAACCAAGAGACGAGAAAAAAAAAACAGAACCATGTTACAGAACCATAAAGAGCTTCTGACCCATGTGGGAGACCAGAAAAATAATGGAGTTTATCATAGTACACACAGCGATCACATCAGCATTGCCCTGCTGCACAGGTGTGGACATTACCAAAACAGTTATATCAAGCGGTGCGCACAGGGTACCTTAAGAGCAAGTTGAACAGCACTGCACGACTTCCTCTGGTGTAGCTCCATTGCAATCTCTCCTGTGCATTTAATGACATGAAATCCTTCACAGCATACACAAATCTTGTTCCCAGACGAATCCTTTAAAAACACAGCACTCTACTTTTTATTAGCTTTTTTATGCAATACTCTGACCTGTGTTATACAGCACCTACATGTTAAACTATACCTCTGAACACAAAGCAGACTGAAAGTACAGGCTCATAAAACTAAATTTGTACAGTTTGGTATTCCAATGATGCATGTATTATAAAGCTATATTATGCTTACTTCTTATCTGAAAGGAAGCATTGCTGACAAGATCAAGATAATTAAACACAACTTAGTAGTAATCAAAGCTGCACTGACTACTAAGCAATTTTAGTATCCATGCTCCTTTAAACACACAGTGGCCTGGAAATTCTTTCCTTGGCTAACGTGTAAGCCACTGTATGTGCAGTGTACATACTAATGGATCAAAGAAAATATGTTCTGTATCTCTATATATGGAATGAGACTTAGAATTATAATTTCAACCCAAATCAGCAATAGTTACACCTGTACACCACTAACGTTTGTAACTTTCAAGTTAATACTGTCATCTTAATTTTCACATAGAAATTCAATGTTTATGTATCTAGAGATAACTGGGGGGTTTAGCTGTCAAACTCTAGAGAGTCAAAGATCTCTCACCTACATAATCCATTCTACAGAATAATTTATGATTTCAGGAATGTCTTTTGGCTGTACCCTATGCTTCCACTCACAGAGTGCTCCAAAATTCCTGAAACATTTAACCATCTCATCTGGAATAACATTTAGCAGTTCTCAGTGCTGCTTTGGTACGTTGCTATTGGGTGAATCTAGATTGCCAAATGTTTGTAGTTTTGCACTCTCACTGCAATACCCCAATAGGCATATTGAGGAACCAACAATAGCTTTCTTGAAGGAATAATTGAATGAAAATAAATATTCTAAGATCTTTCCATTAATCCTTAAATTCCTTCAAGCCTTTACACACGATCATCTTTATCATCAAGTGACCCCATATCCTTCACCATCAATTATTCCATTATTTCTGGTTTGTAAATAGAGAGACATTCTTCTACTTCCTGTGACATCCATTTGAGAAAAATCTTTTGCATTCTGTCCTTTCTGGTGCAGATTGCTTCTTCCACAAGTAGAAGTTGTTCTGAAAAGCTAATGTGATTTGATATACATTAACTCTTTCTTCACAGTTCATGCTGTAAGGTAGTAACATGAATTGTCCTCACCAGGTGAGGCAAACCAGGAAAAATAATCCTATCTACAGACAATACTGACCAAGTTCTTTGTAGGTAGCTTACCAATACCAACTCAAGCTTTTTTCAATAGTTTCCCACATGACTATAAAAATCCTTTATGCTAGTTCTTAAATTACTATAATTAAAATCAGCGCACAATGCTGGCAAGAGGGCTTTCCAAAAGATATATTTGGGATTCCTCCCTTCAGGGCCCCATAAAACTGTCCTACAAATCCTTGTATTGAATCAGCTCTGTCTTCAGACCCTGAGGACAGGGTCTGAAGTCAAGTCTTAGTTAGGTGAAATAAAGCTATTTCTGGGCTAACTACATTCTTCTAAGCAGAGTGAAGCCTTTCAAAATATATCATTTTGAGATCTTCAGCTTTAGGAGCTTATGAAGCCTTTAATTCAAAAAACCTGAGTGTTTAGAACACAGACAATAAAAATACTGTCATGGATTGCAGCAAGTCTCGTCACAATTTTGACTGAATCAAGGTCTGAAATAGAGTTTTCTTTTTTCCCCCATCATGGTGTAGCCACATTAGTTGCACCTCTGTATCAGCACATTTTGTTATCCCAGCATACCAAGCTTACATGGCAGGTGCGAAGAAATTAATGTAAATCAGCAGGTCTACTCACAAAATCACATCTGGATATATTGGGCACATGCTGAAGGCCGTGGTATCCTAGTACAAATCCAGACAGGGACATCATAAAACAGACGACAGACAGTGTAATAAACAGGTTAGCCTGGAACAGCAGAACAAAGTTAACAACACTGGAAACAGGATCATGAACCCAACTCAGAGAACTCATGGCAATGCAAATCCCACTCCCAAACTGAAGCTGGGAATGACACCTCCCTTCTTTTCAAAACTCTTCCCAACTTCAGTGCCCCAGATATCTAATCCTAACCCAACAGTTGGATAGTAGTTACTCCAAACACTGCTGTCTTCTCACTCTCCTTATTCTGCACTAGTTGTGCAGTAATAAAATACATGCAAGTATTGAAAAGTACAAGCAGCTAAAGGTTTTGCTGGAGTGCAAAGTATGACTCGCAAGCCATCTGACTTCCACTGTGTGTCGTATCCTTCCACCGAGTTTACCACTAAGAATATTTAGGTCAGTAAGAAACTTGAAGGGGAAAGATCTTAAGATGACACTCATCCTGTACAGAATTCCCAAAACTGTTTCACAGCACAAATAAATGAAAAACAGTTGTCCCAGTACAGTGAGGACAGAGACACTTTAGGTACTTCATTCACATGATTTCATTTCTTCCGGGCTACTAAAACCAGAACATCTCCATTCATAAATGAGACAACACCTTCAGTTTTATAAACCATCTGAAAGACAAGCACTGGCAGGAGTAACAGAGTACTTGAAAAAGGAGAGGCAGAAACAGTGGATAAAGTAAGTCCTACTTTCACACATGTACTTAGAATCTGCAATCTCTGCTTACATGAGACTTGGGATACAGATTTTAAACGCATGTAAGAAACTTTTCCTGTCCCAATTCAAACACGTAACACTTTTCTGGACTTCAGGAGAAAGTACTCCTGGACTTCAGGAGTAAGACTACAACTTTAGAGACAAATAAAATGATTCTTCTCCTGGCATACTTAATTTTTAAGCACTTAATCCTACAAAGCAAGTATTAGATCTAAAAGAATCCTTATTAAAAACAACTTGCTCACTCAGATTCCTAAGTAACCAAATGGCCTAAACTAAAAATACAGGAGATGACAAAAACCTGAGGAAGAGGAGGAAATCATGAGAGACATGGACTCAGTTCTGATCAGATAGCTTTACAGCAGATTCAGCAACAAGGACTTCCTAAACACCCATCAAATCCAGCAATTGCTTTCCAAATTAATTTAGCTGATGTATCATGCTTAGGTCCCTAGGAAGCTGGACTAAAAGTAAATTAGAGCTGCTGCACAAATTATTATCCCATTTACTGAGGTTCAGGGAAAAAAAATCACCCCTGAACACCCCCTGAGCAGACAAGAGCCAAAAAGCATTACTGTGCAAGCTCATTTCTTAGATTAAACACAATCATCAGCCCTTACATCTGCTTACATCCTACACACACACTTTATAAACAACCTTCTAGGAAAAGGCAAGTCAATGCATTAATTTTCCATATATGCAGCAGTAGTAGCAATAATTAAGCATTAATTATAGGACCTTACTAATCTTCTATCAGTTGTGAGAGCTATTTCTTGCACTATATGGAGACCCGCCACACAACTGTCAACAAAGAAGTCAGAGAAGTAAAAGACAAACTAAATAATTTAATAGAAAGTCACATACTTCAAACGTAGCATTAAAACACCTCACATGAGTAAGAGAAAACTTTTTCAGGCTAAAAATAAATTATGGAAAAAAATAAGACGATACCTTGACCTAATTCTAAAGCCCCAAAGCCTCTCTAAAGGCTTTGCGTAGTCTCACACTTTTAAGCATTTTTTTTATTTGCTTAGACTGACTTTAGAACCTTTGTAGGAATTTATCAACTTAATGGCAGAGACCTGCATGTGAGCCGAGATACTTTTCTTCTAAAATCCAGACAAACAGGCAGTACTACAGTAATTCACATCAAAGACAAATTACTTTGGTTATCGTACAGCACAGGGATATGGAGATTTTTTTTTTTTGCAGGGCTGGAGTCGAACTAAGCATTTTGATCTAAACATAAAATTTTAGTTAAGTCTATGCAAATTAGTCAAGATGCTGATATTGAGAAGGCAGTAGCTAGCCCTAAAAACCTTTATCAGAAGAAAAATATATCCTAGAAGCCTTAAAATAAAGTTCTTCAATGAAATAAAAAGTTTACTACAAATTTATTCACCAAAAATTTTCAAGGAATTTATATAAGTTCTGAAATAAGTTAGGTTGCTTCAGTTAAAAATAAGACTTAAAATCCTATGAAAGGAAGTTGTTTAGGAGTAGAGAGGAAGAAACCAGCTTCCATAAAAGCAGAGTGTAACATTGGGCCCAGAATAGTTGAAAGCCAATACCCAAACGATTTGGGAGGGGTAAAAAGTTTCCCTTTCCCCATTAAATACATGCAGACAAGCATGCACAGGAAGAATCTTCTTCTCTGAAAGAAAAATCAGCTGCAGAGCATGAGCATTACAATCTGACTTCCAAAGTCAGTTGATAATGGATACCCAGAACTGAAAAACCTCAGACCCAAAAGAAAAGTGAAATTTCACAGCCAAGGCTTCTCAGCAGTTGTACTGCTGAAGGCCAAGCTCTCCCTCCAGGAACATCTTTAAAAATATAGGATTATAACCTAATTCTGCCTTGCAGTACCCTGTCTCCGGGACCTATTACTTAGTATCTCTCCATGCTATAATACAGCCTGGTTGGCAAAAAGCATGAAGTTTATACAAAGGAGAATATGAAAGAGTGGAAGAGGAACAACAGACCAAAGGGAACTACAGCAACAACATGATGCTGAAGCAGTACAGAATACAAGCAATACATAAACGGGGAGCAATGTGTCAGCCTCAGACAGTGAGAGAGATGGCATCTACTTTTATTTTCAAGAAAATATGGTACTTTCAGATTGGGAGCCTCAGACACCAAGCTCTCCCTTCTATTCACAGAACTGGTAAAAAACTTGTTTTGCTCTGCTTGTGCTAACCAATGCACGAGCAGTTCAGCCACAGCTCACTGGTACTACTCACTGATGACCATATGGATCCTGAAGAAGGCCTGCATAAAAACAAAACAACTGCTCTGGCCTTGAGGAAAATCTTCAGAATTTACAGTAGGAAGGAAAAAAAAAAAGAAAATAAAAGAACAAAAGCCAAACAACCAAACCAAAATAACACACATATACACAAAAAAAATCCACAAAACCCCCAACACTTCAAGCTTTTTTTCTAATCCCAATTCTGAGACACTGAGTGACACAGCTTCAGATTTCACTTAGTAACAGAAATGGCTTACACACACCACACATCAATTTACTTCTCTCAGAGCAATGTAATGTCAACTGTATTTGAAACATTCTTACTGTAAAATAGCAATACTTAGGTTAGCTCTCAAACCTGCTACCTGACACTAAAACAGTATATATGAGCTAAGCTTTAATAACAACATCCCTGTTAAAGCTTAAGCAGCACTGTCTTAGAGAGCAACTTCTTAAACCTACACAAACACAGAAAGTGTTTTGTAAACAACATTAAGGCTTCCTCCAGATGTGATCCAATCGTGTCCTTAACAGGGACTTCATCCATCCAGGAAAGAACATAGCCTTTCATGGACTTTGACTCCTCTTTCAACATTTATGATTCAAAAATTTAAAACAAACAAACAAACAAAAAAAAGACTCAACAGCATAGTCTCTTTTTTCAAGGGAAAAGAAGTGATGCCATTTTGGGTTCTTTTTTTTTTTTTTTTTTACCAACAACTATTAAATCAGGATCATCTCCTGATAAAGTTCTTACAATAAGTTTTAATCCATACTTACCAAAAATATCACTGGCTTCTTCCATGTTCCTATGTTTAAAACTCCAGATAAGATTGCCTATAACATCAAAAAAACATAACATCACCAAGAAGCAAACAACTCTACACAAAATGTCATTCACATGGTATTTTTCTGTGCTCTAACTTGGAACACTACAACAGTGCTGGGAAGAAAGAAAGATGTGCTTTAAAGCAGAGAATAAGAGCCTATGCCAACGAGGTTCTTTCCTCCTAAGAGCATCGTGGGAAATAATACAACCCAATTTTAATCTGTTTTCCTATTTTTTTCCTCCCAGAAAACATACACAGGGACAAGAAGTTATACCATCAACCCTGACCTCAACAATTGCCTAAATATTGCTTTCAGCCAACTGATTACTTGTTTCCTACAATGTGGCTAAGTAGAACTAAAAGCTGGCTACCTCTCCTCCACCCTTGGTCACTACTGCCCAGTTCATTAAAGCCCTGCCTCTTCCCCTATGCTGACCGTGGCCCTGTTCTGACAATTTCAATGAACTAACTCCCACAGCATGAATACGACCAAAACCACTGAAGAGCATCAAAACCACCTCCCTGAACTGACTTGCTATTTAGTCGGATGAGTGCCAGTCTGAGTGCAAGGAAAGAAGAGAAGAAAGGAAGAGCATCTCCCTCTTTAGCAGTAGTTGTAAGACCAAACTCACTGAATCACAGAATTGAAACCTACGGCTCTTTACCTTAGAGGACAAAACAGTTAAGGAAGGAGAAAGCACTGCTGTAGAGCTGAAGCAAATAGCATACCCAAATACTCTTTCACAGTGAGGAGGGGAACCCTATAAAGCAAAGTAAATAAGTTTTTAAGCATGTCCCGCAAATTAGCAGGTATACTTTTAATTTGTGGGATTTTGTGACTAAGCATCACACCAAACTCCTGTGCTAAAAAGAAACAAGAAGACTAGAACAAACAGGAAGCTGCCCACTAGCATTTTTAACAAATCTCTTCTGGAACTTCATTCGCTTGACATGATCAATCCGATCTAGTGTAACGTGCGTGTATGACTCGGCCAAAACACCTACTGATATCATCACTGGTGTTGCAAAACCACATACATAACTCTGCAGTTTCATAACAAATTATTTTTTGAATTCTGCGAGTGCAAAATAGTCACATGATTTTGTAACAGAGCACATCGATACTGATGTGAATTGCTGTTTTGCCTTAAGGACAACAACACTTACTTCATTACATTTGCTAAAGCTTTAAGGTATAAGAAGAGAATGTCTTTCTCAAAGTTTTCCTGTTCTGCGTTTTAATAGTGCATCATAAACAGCATGTTGTTTCTAAACTGGAAAAAAAAAAAGACACATCCTCAATTCTAGCTTTTAATTGCCTCTACCTTTCCAGGTTTCTTCTGGGGTAAAATTTTCAGTGATGCTGTTCCATCCAAAAGGTATTTTTGGTAACTTTTCTGACTAAATATATTATTGTTTCAGAACCAGGATTAAAAAAGTAAATGCCCTTCATTATTAAAGAGACTGAATAATTCTATTTTACACATATGATTTACAAAACATTTTAAAAGCATAAGCATAGGCCTCTGTTCAGAGAAAGTCTACAGCTTACCCATATTTAAGCTTGCTTTAATCTAGGGTAAGAAAAAATATTTAAAAAGAAAAAAAAATACGAAAGATCACAAGAGATACCAAACATCACATTTGGATAGTCTGGGTTCCCTGCCCACCCTGGTAAAGGCTGGCTATACTCCCAGGGATGACCCTTGCATTACACACATGAACTTACTTGATCCCCAAACCACAGATCTCTGAGCACGCTTCCAGTGGCTGGGGACAGCCCCTCCAGGGACAGGCCCGTGCTGTTTACACCCGCCACACGGAAACTGCACATCACTCGCTCATAGCTCAGGGGCCAGAAAACTGCGCACAACCTATTTTACCATCTCCTATGCCAATTAACTTCTTACTACTGGCTAGCTTCTGCCATACAAACTATTACATATTCTGGATTTATAAAGGTGCAGTTTAAAGTGCTGCCCCACAGGAGATGAATAACTTCTCTCACTACTCTGCAAGGTGAGCCCATCCATTTTTTTCCCCAAGGAACATCACTATTTCCTCTGTGCCTCATTAGAGTAACAGTATGCAACACACAAAGGCAACATACAAGACCTACCCACTCCAGGACTTGAGAAAACCCCAGGTTTTGATTGTGTGTAATAACTGAGCCCTTTTTTTTTCTCCTTCCAGGCTACACCACACACCAGGAAACGTATCCCCAGTCTCGCTGGGGTTCGCGCTGCCACCCTGGTGAACTCGCTCGCAAAAGCGCAACTGCTCTGGACTTCCCAGCGAGGGGACGGTTCCCTGCTCGCTCGTACGGCAGCG